GAACATGATCCATCAAGAGCCCACACAAGAAATCTAGGCCAATAATCGATGGCGTGGCTTACTTTCTATACAGCGCACCCCCCCTAAAAAACTAAAACGACCAGCCCCAAGGAAGGCCTGCAATGACTTAGGATTAATGAAAGTTGGCACAACACCTGTTAAAAAAACACCCCAGCGACCTACACAAAAGCCTCTAGGACCCATGTCTAAACACCCACAAAGGAAGTTCCGGTGGGGGGGGGGGGGGGGTCGGGGGGGCGGGGAGTCGGGGGGTAAGTCGGGAGGGGGGGGGCCGGGGGGGGAGGTGAGGGGCGTGGGGGGGGGGGGGGGGGGGGGGTGGGGGGGGGGGGGCCATTTTGGATTGAAGTTCAAATTTTCACCGTAATTTTGCATTTTATAGCCTCTATATTTGAACGAACTCCTCCTACAGCTTTTGAGTCACAGGCTTCAAACTAACTCCAACTTGACTTGAGGCATTGGGGATTAAAAGTTATCAAAGGAATTTTTCTACATCAAAGCATGTGGGCGTGGCCAGGCGTCAAACTTGGTCATTAGACAGGGAAACAAAGGGTAAGCCCCGTGCCATGTTATGACTGAGAGTTCTGAAACTTGGACCACTTATGTAACCCCTCAGGACCTACAAAAAAGTCTCTTGGGGCCATGGTCCAAATCACACAGGAAGTCGGCCATTTTGAATCAAAACAATCACTTTGCTTTTTTACCTTTGTGACCTATTTGAGCGAACTCCTCCTAGAGCTTTTGAGTTACAGACTTTATATTCACTGTATAATGAGTTGAGACATTGGGGATCAAAAGTTATCAAAGGAATTTTTCTACATCAAAGCATGTGGGCGTGGCCAAGCGCCAAAATTTATCATTAGGCCGTGAAACAAAGGGTAAGCCCCGTGCCATGTTATGACTGAGAGTTCTGAAACTTGGACCACTTATGTAACCCCTCAGGACCTACAAAAAAGTCTCCTGGGGCCATGGTCCAAATCACACAGGAAGTCGGCCATTTTGAATCAAAGAAATCCCTTTGCTTTTTTACCTTTGTGACCTATTTGAGCGAACTCCTCCTAGAGCTTTTGAGTTACAGACTTTATATTCACTGTATAATGACTTGAGACATTGGGGATCAAAAGTTATCAAAGGAATTTTTCTACATCAAAGCATGTGGGCGTGGCCAAGCGCCAAACTTGGTCACTAGGCAGTGAAACAAAGGGTAAGCCCCATGTTATGTTATGACTGAGAGATGTGAAACTTGGACCACCTATGTAACCCCTTAGGACCTACAAAAAAGCCTCTTGGGGCCATGGTCCAAACCCCACAGGAAGTCAGCCATTTTGAATCAAAACAATCACTTTGCTTTTTTACCTTCGTTACCTGTTTGAGCGAACTCCTCCTAGACCGTTTGAGTTACAGAGTTCAAACTTACTCCACCTTGAGCTGAGGTACGGGGGATCAAAAGTTATCAAAGGAATTTTTCTACATCAAAGCATGTGGGCGTGGCCAAGCGTCAAATGTGGTCCCTTTGCTATGAAACACAATGCAAACCCCAGGCCATTTTTTTAATGAGAGTTATGAAATTTGGTACACATATGTAACCCATCTGGACCTAAAAAAGTTATATTGGAGCCATGGTCTAAACCCCACAGGAAGTCCGCCATTTTGAATCAAAGCCATCATTAGCTTTTTCATCTTTATATTGTATGTTAGCTAACTCCTCCTTGAGCGATTGGGCTGCAAACTTCTAACTTGCTGAGCCTAGACTTAAGACATAAGGGATCAAAAGTTATCAAAAGATTTTTGCTGTGACAAACCATGTGGGCATGGCCAAGCATCAAAATTAGACTTCTCGCCATTAGAGTATGACTAAACTGCCTCAGGCCCTGCTTTTATTAAGGATTATTAAATCTGTATAACGCAACAGGATGCTCAAAAAAGTCAATTAAAGCCATGGTCCACACCCAACAAGAAGTCAGCCATTTTGGATCAAAGTTACCATTTTCTTTTTATAGTCATAGCAGTTTAAAAGTTATCAAAATTATTATTCTACATGGAAGCATGTGGGCGTGGCTAAGCATCAAACTGTTAACTCCAGTCATACAAAGCCATGCTTTTAGGAGGAGGAGAAGGATGATGAGGATGAGAAACAAACAGCAGTAGGAGACACAGTGAGAGCAGCAGCAGGAAGAGGAATATGAAGAGAAGGAGCACAGGGGGAGGAGGATGATTAGGATGATAATAAGGAGAAGTAGAAGGAAGGGGAGGATTTAGAAAAGCAGCAGAAGGAGGGGAAGGATGAAGATAGGCAGGAGCAACAGGAGGATGAGGAGAATGAGCAACACAAGGAGGAGGAGGGTGGTAAGGAAGAGAAACAGCAGAAGGAGAATGGGGGAGGATGAAAAGAAGCAGGATAAGGAGGATGAAGAGGATCAGGAGAAGCAGCAGCAGGCAGGGGATGAAGAGAAACAGCAGCAGCAGGATGAGGAGAAGGAGATGCAGCAAGAGCAGCAGCAGGATGAGGAGAAGGAGATACAGCAAGAGCAACAGCAGGAGGAGGAGAAGGAGACGCAGCAAGATAAGCAGCGGCAGGAGGATGATGAGGAGAAGCTGCATTAGCAGGAGGATGAGTAAGAGGAGGAGAGGCTGCAGGTGGAGGAGAAACAGTGGCAGCAGCAGAATAAGAAGGAGGGGGAGGATAAAGAGAAGCAGCAGCAGGTATAGGCTGAAGAGCAGGAGCACAGGCTGGGAAGGAGCATGGAGGTGGAGGTCGCTTGGTTCCAGCGATCGCAACATACCAGGCGGTGCGAGCTGCGAGGGCCGCACAATGCCACTTGTGGCTTTAATTCTAGATGCTGCTGAATTACATGGTTTCCTTTAACACACAAAACCTTTGTGTTTTGGCTTCAACTTTGTGTAAAACACATTTTAGGACACATCTGTTGCATCTTTGTTTGTGCTGAACATTTCCATGTTTATGTCAAATCGAAGGAAAAATCTGGAAAGGTTTCCACTTGTCTGGGATTTTTTAAATGAGGAGTTAGACGGATTCTAAGTTGCACAGATTTAAGCTGCAATGTAAAACCAACAGACCAAAGCGGAGCCACATTTAATTGATTTGTTGAAAAGATTCAGGTTCAATGCATTTAACAAGATGATCAAATTCCACATACCATTCAGCTACTTTCTCAGAACTTTCTGTCTCCTCTTTTCAACATCTGCCACTTTGCAGCCTTTTTAACATCCTCTAATGATACATATTCATCATATTCTAATATCTACGGTTTGTACATTCTTGGTCTACTGATGGCTCATCCTGGAGAGTTAAACTTTATATTTTTACAAGGGTGTGATGAGAAAAACATGAAGTTCTTGATTTTAAACCTGCCTGTTATACTTTTCTATCATATAGTCCATTCTTCTTTTCCTACAGGAAGCATAATCAAAGACAAAAAAGGATGCATGTAGTTCAGCCAGCCGAAAAAACCCAGCTGTTAAAATCCTTCTAATCAAGTTTAATTTCAGCGGCTTCCTAAAGCTTTGAATCGAGGCACTTAAACTGCTATTTAGTCAAAATTTGATGATACTTGTGAAATAGAAGCGGATGAAGTTACCTCTTTAAATGAAATAGCACAGCAAGCATCTCCCAGCTATAGTCTTAAGATTAAGTAAAATGTGAAAGTATGCTTATTATTATTTGCTTTGTTAGCGATACTTTATAACATCATACTTCACATGAAGTCATTTTAAAATCAAAGAAGTAAAACTATAGGGGTTTTTCATGTGACGTCGCGCTCACGTGACTACTCAGCGCGTCCGCCATATTGGGTGGCAGCCTTAGGCAGTATTGACAGTGAAAAATGGTGAAATCGTGTGTAATTGTTGGTTGCACGGCCCGTGGAGGTGGAGATCAACGCTCTTTCTATCGCATACCAGCCGTAATCGTGAATCAATGTGAAAAAACAAAACAGCTATCTGAACAACGCCGTCACCTATGGCTGACACGGATATCCAGGTCCGATTTGGACGGTGTTAAGCTGGAACACGCCAGAGTCTGCAGTGCTCACTTTGTCACAGGTAATTAACTGTCAAGCATTTAAAACATGTAAGAATATATTAATAATAGGGCTTGGGCGTCATGACGTATTACTTTCCGTGGCCGCAATGTTGACCGTCTCCGCCGCCGCTACTCAGACTACTGCCTATGACCACCGCGTACTGGACTCCCTCTCTCTGCCGTGTTTTAATTTGATTAATTTCACCTTAACTTGATTTCAACCAGCGGGAAAAGGCTCAAATATGTGAGAAACCCGGAGGGTTTAGGGAGGTTTGGCAGTTAACGTTACTAACCAAACCTTTGAAACACATAGCAGCTAGTTAAAAGTACATTACATGCCTGAGTGGTTGTTAGCACTAACGGTTAGCACTGTTTGCTGGCTTTATGAGCTGCAGCTCCTGAACCCATCCATTCGTAAACTGCACATGAGACTCCAAGGACTTGTAGCTTTGGAACTGTTCGCGCACCGCCGGCCGTTAGCCACCTAGCATAGCGAGCCCTGCGTCGGATTGTTTACATTTTTACCATCTTATTAAAACTCACCCGTCCACGTATGATGGCGATTTCCTTCATGTACATCACTTCGACATCTCGTACCCAACCAGATGTGAACTGGTTGTGAGCCTCTAGACCCTTGTACGCTCTCATTTCCTCCAGAGTGTGCAGAGGGTTTTCACTGAACACCGGGTAATGAACTATGTTACCGTGCTCTACATTTGGCCAATCATCTGGATTAGTGCTAAACAAGGCACCGTGGAGGGCATAGGGGTCCATATGGTCGATCACGGAACATTTCCTCAGATATGTTCCATGATCTGGTGGCTCTAGCGTGCTGGCGTACTTATCTATTCGCGACATGATATATTTAATATACGATAATATGCCACCCAAGATGGCGGACCGGGAGCTGGCCAGTGACGTCACTGAAAACCCCCTATTCAGGGTGCTGCTCCGTACATATTTTGCACTGATTCAGTCAAACACATTCTGCATGATCTAGACAGCTTCACTATCATTAATTGTGCCACATTATATACAAAAAAGGATTAACAAGTAGGCAAGTTCTTAGCAAAGAGGTTAGATGTGTCAAATAAATAGAAGTAAATGTAAATCACCCCTGAATCTTTACAATGGCCCCTTGAAGAGCAGCTAAAATCCCTCCCTTTATTCACCCTACTTGAATAATACACAAGTCTACCATTTGTAATACCTTCTACTTTCACACTTTTTAACTACAAGAGTCAACAATCTGCTCTTCTTGGGGAAAAGACTGGATTTGTTTATGTTAGTGTTGAAGTTGTTTTATAGATAAGGCCAGCAGGGGAAGGAAAGCAGTTACAAGATAAGCAGCTTTCTAGGGGAAAATACTAAACAAAAAAGGATCCATGTCTTAAATAGTCGTCTTCACCTGACAGGTGTAAAACTACTTCACCTCTGTTATTCTGGGATGGTGCTGCAGCTCACTGCAAACAGCAAAGCCTGGGGGAAGATAGTGGGAGTCTGTCTTTCGATTATCTAGTTCTGCCTCTGTGGAAAATAATAATGCATGGGATTTAGTCAGTAATGCAGGATAAGTTAAGGGTCCTTTTTGCATTTCAGCAAGGCATTTCCACATGGAGAAAAGGTCCTGAATTACATAAATACTTATGTGCTCAGGTTGAAAATATGCTGTTCCACTATATACTGATTAAAGAGCATCTCTCCCACCCCCCCCAAAAAAAGAAATGCCAAAAAATGCAGTTATTTCTTTCCTATCATCGATCACATTTTACCTGATAATCCCTGAACTGCCTCTTCTTTAACATAATAATAATAAATACTAGTAAAAGGATCTAATAGTTGCATCGCTTACATTGTTATCCAACAGTTTTTATATTTTACTGCCTGCAGTGCAGCAAAAATGTTGATATTTAAAAAAAAGGAAGATGGTGGGACTCAGAAGCTATCTGGAGGTCAGAACTGGGAGCAGAGGAAGCATGTTTGCCAGTCCAGGAGGCTTTGAGGTCAGACATCTTTGGGGCTAACGTTTTTCAGGTTGTTGAGCTCCAGCTCCAACTGCCGTATTCGCACGTCCTTTGTGGTCAGCTCCTCCTTCAGCCGTCGTAGCTCATCCTGCTGCCGAAAGAACATCCGTAGGAGCTATGTAAAGGAATTACACAAAAAAACAAAACAGGAACTCAATCATTAGATACCTCTGTGGGGAACAACATCCCAATCTTAGAGACAAGCAGCCATCACATCAGTGCTTATTTTGATGTTCATGAACTCTTCCAATGCAAACTCTTTCCTAAACTGAGAAACCACCTGACTTTCTCAGAGCCATTTAAGCTTTTTTTTCTCCTTTATGTAGCTAAAAACAGGTATTGTTAAAGTTTAGGCTGGTGGCTTCGTTCATGCAGATTCAGACTCACACACCTCATTCTCTGTCCTGGGTGGTACATTTTCCAGTAGGTCGATCCCATTGACAACCATACTCTTCTTTTCCTTCACCGGGGCCTTAAAAACTAACTGGTTTGGTCTGTGATAACCGTCCTTCAGTGACATCAGCACTGGGTCTGGTGGAAACAAAGATGAGGGAATAAGCATGTGAGAAACAGGAGACATGACTTCCATAAAAGTAAAAAAAAAAAATCCGCTGGACTTTTTTTTCTCCAAGTTTGAAGACATTTCGTTTCCCATCCAGGAAGCTTTTTTAATTCAAAATGTCAGAAATAGCATTGATTTCAAGGCTCTTATACAGTAGCCCAGCAAAGCCTTTAGAAAACATGTAAAATGAAACAGACGAATGTCTGTCCACCCCTTTGGAATGCATTGCCCCATACCTGTCTATGTCTCTGAAAGGGACATAGACAGCCCTTATTTCGCTCTTGATAGCCCTTAAATCGCTGCACTGGATTCCTCTTAATAAATATCAAATGATAGAAATTAAATATTGCTCATGGAGTTAGAAGCACTAAATAATCTGAGGACATAAACATACTTCAGATTCGCTGGCCTAGTATGAGTAATGTGGACCCCTCAGTTAGAGACATCATTACTCTGTGTTCAACTGCTGTTTCACTGCAAAAATTATCTACAAATAAACAGAAATTTCTTAAATTAAGTATATTTACCCTTAATTTCAATGGGCAAAAAAGATGATCTGCCAACAGAATTATTACTTTTATGATGCACTTTTATGATAAGTAATAATGCACTTAACATAAGACAAAGCAGTATTTTTTGTTATTTCAAATGTAAATTGTCTTGTTCTATTGACAAAGTCTCTTGCTAACCTCCTCAATTCAAGAACAAATGCACTTATTTTAAGAAAAAAATGACATTTAGATTAAAATGTTTTGCCGTGTTTTATTATATACATAACATTTTACTTTTTCTACGTGATAATTTCTCAGGTTTTTTAAAATTATATGATGCTTTCATGTTACGCATAATTAGTGTTTTTTTATGGGATTACCCTGTCAATGTATGCTGCTGAACATATACACTTACCTTTCATTCCTAAAACAGGATGTTTTAGTCACTCATGTAATGCTACTGATAGAGTGTTGAATATAGTCTTTGTATATTTATAAGATAAAAGTGGATCTAAGTGAAGGTCTCATTGGCTACTTCTAGATCCAAAGAGATTTATATGAGGAGTCCTCATTTTTCCAATAAGTCACTATGCAAACTCTTTGGTTTCTGTTTAACTTTTTTTTATAATATAGATTGTATAACAAAACAGTTGAGTAATTAGAGACAGCTTATCCAGCTTCTATTTTTTTGGCTGCACAAGCATTTGCTTCTGCTGAGACATCCCTCACCAGGGTGGTATTTAGAGTCAAGCAGAAAGGTTTAACTTTCACTGACATAAATGAGAAAAAAAGGACTCCAGCAGTTCACAGTATGACATTAATACAGGAAAATACCTGACAAATAAAGCTAAGCACCCAGAAGGAATTATTTTGGTCTTGTTTTTTTATGTAATTTGATCCACATGCAAATTATGTTTTTAAGTTGCAAAATATAAAGAGAACAAGGTCATAAGTCATTACAAGTGGGGCCCCAGTGTTATCAGGAAATCACTGAGGCATCCAAAAGCCAAAAAAACTTATTTTAGAGCATTACCATTACTAGAGTCTAAAAGCTGTTACATCTGTGCTATGCATTAGAGCTGGCATGTAGGGAGTACAATGGAATAGGCAGGAATCTACCGTACCCTAATTTACCTTACCTTATTTTACCTTACCTCACTAGTTCTTGAGAGAATTGATATGAGGTGCTGGTTTCAGAAAATAAAACAAATCATACAAGCTTTTAAGCATAACCTGCTATGGTGATACAGCTATCTAAGAAGTGGACCAGTACTGGCAGACCAATCCTGCAGTACACTGCAAAAAAATGTAAGTAAGTTTATTTTTCTTAAAATAAGAGCATTTTATCTTGAATTAAGTAGTTAAGTGATACAGTTTGCCAATGAGATAAGGCAATTTACATTTAAAATAATAAAAAAACAACAACTGCAGTATCTTATTTCAAGTGCATAATATCTAATTCGCTTATTTTATACTTATTTTTAGAGAAAAATACTCTTTCCCTTGGCAGATCATCATATTTACCTCCTCAAATTAAGGGTAAATACACTTAATTTAAGAAATGTTTACAAATGTTTAGATCTTTTTTGCAGTGTTCAGCTAATGCAACTTGTGCTCAGAGCCAACACTAGAAGAAATGACAGGATGATGTGCAGTTGAATGATTTGTGGTTTTTAAATGCAACTTCTGGATTAATGCACACATCTTTGATATATTCTTACAGTGAGGTTTTCTAAAAATGCACATCAGACTTCAGCTCAGGCTGCAACATGGTGGTAGTTTCAAACACTATAGATAGAGTCCAAGGAAAGAGCACACATCAGAGACAGATGTTTTTTGTAAGGAGGTTTTTCTTCTTTTTTTATTAGAAATAAGCCTGAAACACAAGAATTAAATATCTTGACCTCGGGACTGTTTTATGATTTGCAGATATTTTGTTTATAATAAAAAGGTGTGAAGCAGGGCTTATGTGTTTTGTTTACCTCTATCAATCCCACTCAGCCACTCGCTGGCAGACAAGGCTGGTTCAGTCCCAGCTGTCATTGGGTAGATGTCCTCCTGGTATGTATCTGACTGTTGACACACATTTTCATATGCTTTAACATTTGGTTTATCTTACTTATTTGCAAAACATTTGAATCAGATATTAGTCTTTTGATATAGATTAAATGCTTTTCACAATTTCACCACAAGTCTTACTGGAGTGCAAATAAAAAAATATATAATTTCTTAGTTTTCACCTAGCTATTTTGTGTACTTTTATAAACTTTTACTTTTTTTCCCCACTATATCTGGTCTGTCACTTCTCTAAAATTTAAAAAAGAAACTTAAAAACTATTCTTCTTAAGTCAAAGTGAAGACACCTTTATACATTGCTGACATGTTGTAAGTTTAGCTGTGATTTAAAAAAAATGTATTTTCTATTTCAACATTAAATCGATATTTACTAAAATCAAGCATCGTGTCACATTAATGTGAAGAGATTGTAGTCATCATTGCACATTTAAGACCTTTTTACACAATGATTTGTAAAACGTGTACATGAAGATAGAAATTTGATCGTAGCATATGTGAATTCGACTCCTCTGAGCCCCATTGTTTTTAGAGCCCTCTTTCACTGCACCAACAACAGTGATTCCTTTTTTTTGGTATGTTTCTGCAAGCTTTGCACATCTCAGCACCCAAACCTGGATTCATTCTTCCTTTAAAAATAGCTGAACTCGGCAAGATTTGGCAAAGGGTGTCAAGTTTCAAAGTGTTGCCTCAGATTAAGGACTGTATGGTGTTTGACCGGTCGGTTGTGAAATATGAATGTGCTTCAATCTTTCTCTGGTTGCTAGTTTTGTTTTGCATGTAAAATTTTGGTCTCATCTGACTGGAGCAAATTTTTGCCATGACCTCTACATGCCTTATGGCAAACTGCTAACCACTTTTTGGCTTTTTTTTTTTTTTTTTAGAAAACAGCTTGCATCTTTATCTAACATTCCCTCAAAGTGCATGTAAATATTTATAATTTAGTATCTTTAATGCAAATCTGCTGTTCCTTGGTCTTTATGATGCTGCAGTAACGTTACATAAAAAAAAAAATAAAAACAGCACTTCGGAACAGGTGTATTTATGTTTATAATAACAAAACTTCAAATCAGGTCTTTTTGCCAAATGTTCAGTTACGGATCACTTACTCTTCTTGGCACAATCATAGAAATTGGTTCGATCATGCCCTTGAGAGTGACTAGTTTGTAGAAGCGGAATACCTCACAGGCTGCCACATCCAGCCCGTGCTTTGGCATCACACCTGCAAGAAAGAACAAACGACTGCAGTAAAATTATTTGCATTCATGAAAAGCCACAAACATCTGATGACTTACCCAGTCCTTTCTGTGGGGCTGGGGAGCGAAACTCCATTAGATACTGGATGTAGGGCTTCTCTGTTGTGATTTCAAAGTAACGGATGTTGCCATCCCCCTGTAAAAATCCCACAACATTTATAAGTATTACATTTTCAATATTTATTGTCTCCAACCAAGGCATACATCTTATATGTAAAAAAAAAGGTAAGTAGGAGTTGAATGTTAGAAATGTTTTTAAATTCCCCATTAGGCTAACACAAAAGTAACCTCAAATCTAACAGATTAACTTGAAAAAAGTCTGAGGCTGAATATCTCAGTCAGTAGAAATATCACAGAAGATCGAGATACAAAAGGTTTCCTCAAACACCCAGCAGATGGTAAAAAACATGGCTTTATTGGATATCTATGGTAAATATACATTTCATAGCACTAGTGCGCCATGGATCCCAGTTATTGGTCTTTATAGTAGATAAAAAAAATCACTGCAGAAAAGATGAAACCTTTGCCTGTATTTTGGCCCATTCTTGCTGATGGAACTATTAAAACTGAATCAAGTTTCTAGACATCTTTGCTCACTCACACATTTTTTAGCTCTGCCAACACAAGGCTTTTCAAAAGGCCACTCCTAAATATTAACTGATGTCTTTAAAGAGACGTTATCTAAATTTTTACTGAAAAATTTAAAATAGCATTTAAAAAAGCAGAACCAGCTGAAGAGTGCTGTATTATTATCACAGATGAAACCACCCACCCCGCCCACAATGTCTTCACCTTGCTGCAGAGTCTCCGGGCCAGAACCAGTAGGCTCAGAGACAGCTTCTTCCACCAGGCAGTGAGGATGCTCAATCCACCCCCCCCCCCCTTACCACCGTCCCCCAGTACTTCCCCCACGTCAGGATTGCTACCCTATGCACTATTTGCACCATTCGCACTACTGTTTACATATTTAAATATTTATTTTTATATCTTAGGTTTTTATTTCTATTTTTATCTTATGCTATGGTTCATTATATATTTTTTTTATTTTTATTTTATTATTTTTTTTTAAAATATATTTTATTATGCATTGTGGGATTGAGAGGACTGAAATTTCATCCGTGTTGTTTGTTTAACATGTAGCACATTTGACAATAAAGTTGAGTTGAGTTGAAATTGAGTTGATTATTAGAAAACTATAATGCCTCTTATTTGGTAGTAAGTTTAAGAAGACTCAATTTAACTTCTTCACCGACTTCTTGAAATGATTTTAATATATTTTTTACTCATGGTTTCCTTTTATACATCAAGCAAAATACCCTCAACACAATTAAATTCAATTCAGATTATTTCTATATCGCCAATTCACAACACGTCATATCAAGGTACTTTGCAGTTCACCAGATCATACAGTCAGATTGATTCAAAGTTTTCTATCTAAGGAAACCAGTAGATTGCATCGACTCATTGACTCCAATGCAATCCCTCACACTAATTATGCTTGTAGCGACGGTGGAGAGGAAAAACTCCCTTTTAACAGAAGGAAGATGCTGTTAAAAGGATTGTTTTGTAGTTAAACAATTCTTCAACACAATTTTACTTTATATATAAAAATCATAATTATGTCTAAACACTGATGCACTCATTTAATTGAGGCACGTTTCCCCCCAAAATAAGTGTTTTTCTCCATGTGAGTGTGAATTTGAAAACTCTAATCTGGAGTAAGCCATGGTGGCTTCTTTATCTCTGATTGACCCTTTAGCCTTTGGTACAAGCCTTGGTTTATTTTGGATGACAACTCTCTCTTTTAGCAAGGCATCGTTATGGCTTGACGTTTTTCTTTGCTCTGTTGCCAATATGCATTTTAGATATTTTTTTGATAAACAGGCCAAAACCTCAGTCAGTATCTTTCCTTTTACATCTGTTTCTCCTCCCTCTCTGTTATTGCAAAAGTAAGAAAAATATCTTAGTTCTTATTTGTTTGAATCTCCTAACAGATCTGCAGTGGTTTTTACCTTGCCTGCCAGGTACAGCATGTGTGTGTCAGCATCATAGAAGGGAAATAACATTCCTGAGAGGCCATCTATGTCCTCCTCCACAATAGGCATGGACAAATCTTCCTGAAAAGACAAACACAGAAAGCGTTAAACACCCACCTTCTGCTTCCACTGGGCTGCTATGGGTGGGGGGCATACAGACGCACTGCCTAACCTGATCCCAGAAAGCTATCTGCCGGGTGTTCCAGCGAGAAACCCCCGTGGTTAGCAGCCGCTTCATGTTCCCCAGGAACACCACTCGATTTACTCGATGGTTCTTGTAACTTGCTTGCTGGTGGGAGGGGGAAGCAATGGAGAGAAACGTTAATATAAGATGCGGCTACAAAAAAAAACAAAAAAAAAAAACAAAGGCCTTAAATGTGACAAAAATGTGTTTTTAAATGTTAGTATTACTCAAAAAGAAAAAAAATTCTGAAGGTAATGTTGTTTCATAGCCTCAGTAGATGAAATCCGTGATCCTTTCTGCCTATGCTGCCTAAAATTTGAAGCCCTAAGAGAGATTTAGAAGGAAAGAGGCACATGGTTTTTATCAAAAGCCATTTTTAATTCAGTTTGATTTGATAGCAAAGTAAAAATACTGGGGCTGTTTAAAGGCAAATTAAATTTATGACGTTAAGGAAGAGAGGAGTATATTTTTCAACATAAAATATACTAAGGAGCTTTAGCAGCAAGGAGCAAAGTTCACTCTTTTATATTTGGTTCCCTCATTTCTCACTATATTGGCGCACTCATACTAAATGTTGCTGCATGCTAATTTTAAGTATCTATAATTTTATCACCATCTAAATGACATGACTATAATGACTGTTTTGGGTTAAATAGCAAAAATTAAGGTGAGAGACAGAAAATAACAAGGAATGTTTAAATAACACCATTTAAACAGGGAATTTATGTATTTATTGGTACTTCCTTTACTAAAAGGATTTATTCTTTCGGGGTGAATTAGGTTAAGGAGACTGGGTTTACAAAAAAAAGATCTGAATATAAGTATACATATATTATTTTATTTATTATATATGTATTATATATATTATATATTATAATATATTATATATATTATGTAATTATTTGAGTTGGAGATGGTTGAAAAAATGTCACCTGAAGGACTCTCCCAGAGCGCGGCTCAATAACTCTCAGCTTCTTGTCTTTGCAGCTTGTTGCTAGCAGGCTGCCGTCTGTGTTAAAGGACATACTTAAGATGACATCAGTGTGGCAGTCGATCATTTTTACCGGCTCTCCGGTCTCCAGGTTCCAAATCAGGATCTGAAACATCAGAAAGAGTTATTATTTCGGGTATTCCATTGAAATCTGGGCATTCATCCAAAATGTGAGAATTGAAATACCTTATAGTCATATCCAGCACTGAAGAGGATGCCACTGGTGGTTGGATGCCACTCAATGAGACCCACTCGTCTGCTGTGACCATACAGCTCCAGGACCGCCTCAGTCATGTTGCGCCTCAATCCCCCTTCTGGGATCTCCCATACTCGAACCTGCCAAACACCAGAGAAGATACACTCTTTGGTGAGTTTATTAGGTAAATATGTTTAAGAGGCATCAAGATGTGGAAAAAACAAACAAACTACACTGCAAAAAATATAAATCTCAAGAAGTTATTTTTTCTTAAAATAAGTGTGTTTTTCCTTGATTTGAGGAGGTAAGTAAGACACTTTGCCAATGGAACAAGACAATTTCCTTTTAAAATAAGAAAAAACTATTTTATCGTCTTATTTCAAGTAAATATTATCTAACTGTCTTATTTTAAGAGTGAAAATACTCATTCCATTGGCAAATCATCTTATTTACCTGCTCAAATTAAGGCTAAATATACTTAATTTAAGCCATTTTTTACTTTTTCTGGATTGTTTTTGCAGTGTACAAGGCAGCAATAGAGTTGATTTCTTCCCGCTATCATCTCATTCCTCATCGCCATGCAGGAGACTAAGATATCTCGCCTGGTCAGCCAGGCCAACAATAACAACTCCCCTTTTCAGAGGCATAGGCCTGTATCGAGTACTGCAGGTTACAAAGACCTGAAGGACTCTCCTTAACAGGGGTGGACCTGTTCCTCCTGTTTAATTTGTATGTTTTCTAGGACAAAACAAGTCTTTGTTGGGCTACTCTATAAAGCTTGGAACTCAACGTTTAATTGAAAAAGCTTCAGACTTGTAAAACAAAATCCAGTATTTTTTTTTTTTTTTTTTTTTACTTTTTAAAAATGTGATGAAGGTCACACAATTTATTAGATTAAGAAAGAAAGCGTTTTTCAGGGGACTCTGAGCATTACACAGTTTTCATTCTAGTCTGATTATTTCAGAAATTGCTGATATTACACAAACATCTATGTCCTGTTTACATGGATTAATCTGAAACAGACAGGATGAGTGGTGAGCAGCAGTTACATTGATGAAAAATGTCTTCTTGATATTGGAGGTCAGAGGAAAATAATAACCATTTAAAGCTAAGAATTTGGTTTAAAGAGCATATAAAACAAGGGTTCATCCTGGCTACTACCAACAGTTCAAGCTGGTGGTGATGTAATGTTGTGGATCATCCCTTCATGACCACAGTGTGCTCTGATGACAGTTCCCAGAAAGATAATACACCATTTCCCAAAGCTCATTTCACTGTAATCAGATCCCCTTTACAGTCTTCAGAACTCAATCAAGTAGGACACCATTGACATGTGGTGGAAAAAGGAGATTCAAATCATGGATGATCAACCGAGAAATCTGCAGTAACTTTTATTGCTGTCAAAATGAACCTGAATATCTGAAGAACTTTTCTGCTCCTTGTTAAATCTAGGCCACGCTGTTCAGAAGTCACAAGGATGCACTATCAAGATGTGCCATTTTAAGTGGCTATTGAGAGTGAATAATATACAGAAAAAGCTAAATGAGGATGCTATGTCATGCTTTAAACTCTTACAGTGTAACTATGACCTTAAAATGAATTGAAATCTCATGGCTGGAGATCCATCTGATCAAAAGTGGCACAAGCTATCACTGTAGCCTACTGCTTCAGGATTACACTGGATAACTGAAAGCGCTTTAGGCTATGCTGTGGATCAGATGAGATTATAATTCAACAAGTGAAAGTATTACACAAAAACAGAGTGACTGTCTTTACTGAGCTTAAAAGACAAGGGTTACATGGGTGTAAGGGATAAATATGTCCTCGGAGGGTTTTACAATAGGAATGTAAAGGGAAGTTAAAGATTGACTGTGTTTTACAAGGGTCTAGCTTTTATTGTATTGTATAATTCTTTTACTTGCTCATATTTTAGATCTTTATTTTTCAATACTCCCGAGGGTAAAAAAAACAACCTGAAACACAGGTTGACTTAAGATTTATTTTTATTGTTGTTAATTTCTGCTTTATAGAATAAAATCATGGAAAATGTTTGTAAATAACAGAGGTTGTCACTGACTCACCGAAGTGTCCTCTGAGCACGAGGCTATGATGTTTTCAAAGAAGGGATTCCATTTGATATCCAGCACGTTGCCCTGGTGGCCACACACCTTCGGGTAATGAGAGTCCAGACGGCCAGCCTGACAAAAAAAAGAACGGATTTCAATGAGTTAATATTTACTCTCTTTGTCCTAAAACCAAAAGTTTTCAATAAAAAAAGAGGTTAAAATATAAGTCAGTACAAATACTGTTTTGGGATGTCTGCAATTAATAAATATAAAGTAAAATCCACGGCAGCAAAAGAAGACAGGATTCATAGCAGAAGAGGTGAAAATAACATTTTTTAAATCGCATAGACCATTAAGTAAGCAGAAAAAAGAAAACATTTGTTTCATAAAAAAAAAAATAAATAAATCTTTGTACTGATCAAAACACAAATAAAACATAAAACCATTAAAATGACTCTGTGGATTTGCTTAATGAAACTTGGACACAATGTGTGTTTTTGAGGCAGTTTGTTGTTATTGCAATGACTTGGTGAGTCCACAAAGGGGCACTGGCTCATAGCACCCAATAAGAGACAGCTTTCAGAAACCATTTTGCTTTTTTATGATTGTTTAACATTATCTCAGTTCACTGACCTAGTTTTTTTATTTCCTCAGAGATCCATGTTTCTGTCATACGATGTTCTAATTCTGCAAAATGCAGCATGTTTGCATGCATTCAATGAACACTACATAAAAATCACCTCTGTTTACATCTGTGGTTAATGATATGTTGAGTATTGAAAAGTCATATGGTTCTAGAGCTAATTAAACACATTTTCACTAATTCCCAAACCTAGAAAAAGTCTTGTGCAAAAGAAACAATCTTGGTAAAAATATCTATGTGTCATAATAGGAGGAAAAGGCAATTAGATTTCAGTGATGACAGTTCTAGCATATATTTCACTTCAACAAACGAAGGAATTCATACAGCACAATAGTGCTCATTGTAATGGAAAGGAGAAGGGAAAATAACAAATTACATAGAACTTAGTAGTTTTAAAAAGCAATATTATTCATTTACACAAGCTATAAAGGTATTTTGGAATGTTTTTACACAAACAGACAAAAAAAAAACATGGAGTAATTTGCCCCCAATGAAAAGAAGTATATAAGGAATTAAGGCTTTTCGAATAGCGCTGCAGGGTTCCAATTATTTGGCGTTGCGGTCGTCATGCAGTCAAACATTTTCCTGCAAACATTATGGAGCAATAAAGATGGGAAACCTTTTTATATATTTGTAAACTTTATCTATAACAGAGAAAACCTGGACAAACCTGCGCAAAAAGTTTTGTATAATATCTATCCAGAATTATACCACAATGATTGTTGATGGCTGGAAAGAGCATACATTCAGCATGCAGCTTTCTATGGGACTTTTAATCAAATCTTAGTAAACAGAAATTATCCTTTGTTTGTAGAATTCAAACTCTTTATAGGATGGAAAAGAAATCCATAATAAAGTTACTGTTTATATAGAATTCTGTATTTTCTTTTAAAAGAATTATTCATATTGTTTGTTTTATAACCAGTCCATCTTAAAAAACAAAAACCATATGTCTAACATTCCCAAGATATATATTTATTGGTGTCATGGTATGCATTATGTCACAAAGAGCAAAATTAGAATAAATCCATGTACTGAAAAATTATTGAAATGTATAAAACAACACTATATTTGGAGGTCCTCTGTGCTTTTATAGAATTAAATAGCTTCTGTATGCCTTGAATCAATATTTTTTACACATTTAAAGTGTTTTTGAAAATGTCTTATCTGGTGAAATGTTCTAAACCGTGGCAAAATATACATATTTATCCAACATTACAAAGCAGAGGAAAGTAAAACTTCTTAAGTGTGCTAAAATTTGTTTAAGTCACCAAACATCTCAGCCCCTGCCTTTAATCAGCTGCAAAGAAAAAAGAATCCTACAAACAAACTGCACCAGAGGGCTTTAGGACTGTAATTATATTTGCTGTAGAAAAAAGGAGGGTTTTAATTCAACTACTAATCAGGAAACGGCGTGGCCATGTGTTAGACGTCAGGGTTCTTGTTCTGATCATTTCCCAGGGCTGTTATCTAATGGATGAACTTTCAGTGACGCACCACTTTCCAACTGCAATTGATTCGCAATTCCCAATAAATCTTTGTTAATGTGGACGTGCATGGCTGCTCTGGGATACAGTCAAGCATATTTCAATGTTTGGAGACTGAAATGTTGAAATGTCTGTTATGTCTATTAAATTATTTTTGTATTTTTATTAAAGTCAAGAAAAAAACCTACCGGTACCTGTAAAGGGAACATAAATTTGAAAGTAATATAAAGCTATCTGAAAGGGGAAAATAGTTTTAAAAGTAAAATTATTGTAAAGAAAGAAAATTCAAACTAAAAGCAAAAACCGATGGTATTTGAGACTGTAGAAAACATCTTGAGATAAACTATTTTGTTATTGAATAAAAGAAAGATAAAAGCTCCCAAAAATATATTATTACTCCCATTTATTTTTTTTTTTATCAGAGTGAAAACATTTTCTGTCAAAGGTAGATTTCTCTCTCAAAACATTTTTCTTCTCTCTCAAAATCTAAGTCCTTACTATTCAGGATTTTTCTCACAATGTGTTAAATTTTCCTGTGTTTCTATTGAAAAGTCAACAAAATTGACAGAAAATAAGTTCAGATATGTCTTCCATAGATTAGATTTTAGATTTATTATTCATTTGTTCAAAACAGAAAGCAGTAATAAATATTTCTGTACTTTTATGAACACTAGCATAATCTGTTAATGCTGATGCAGCTCAGTGACAAAATTGACTGATAGTGTCTCTCTCAACCAAGATGCTGATATCAACATTTTACTTTTCTTATGGATGCGCCATTTATCGACATTAAATTAGCTGAAACTAAATACCCTCAGTCATGTTTTTTATCGAGTTAATATGGCTCTCTGTCGCGCTGCATGCTTTGTTTTTAATAAGCCTTGATGCTGATGCCGTTTCATACATGTCTGCTCCACTTTACTGTGGGAGCTAAATATCTGGATCCCTTGTGTTTCTACAATGCTGCACACAGCCTTGTTTACAGTGACCTCATAGAGGACTAAATAACTACATAGAAAAATATAAAATCATCAGTTTTCATTGTAAATCTATTTATGATACAGTTGCATGTGTTGTTCTGTCAGTTACCTCTAGCTAAATAGAAACAATGCAAAAAAAAAAAAAGAGTTAATAGTGTGAATTTACATAAAAATTCTCTAATTGTTTTGACCATGTTAGGATAATTATCATTGAAAATGTGTGAGTTTATTACACCTTGGTATTGGCTGCCTGTTGTGTGTCAGAACTGATGTCTTAATCTAATTTAGACAGAAGAAGTTCTTTTTTTGGGGTATACAGTTATTATCTTCATTCTGTACGTGGCAAAGATTTTGGAAATGGAGTGAGAGCGGTGTCTTCATTCTAAGCAATTTTGAGTGGAGCTCAGTATACAGCAGTATGCAGGTCATTATGCAAAATGTCCAATGACATCAGCACGAAAATGGAGGAGGCTGGGATAAATCCTACTATTTCTGATTGCAAGATTATAGGATGCAGATTTCCCACATGTCAACAGCTGTTGTGTAACACATTGGTTTACACACAAACTAAAAAAGGATAACACATGACTAAATATTGTGGTGGTAATATGAAATAAACAAAAAGGGTATATGTATTTTAACTTTTTCGCCTCAAGGGCCAAATTCCAGCAATAATTTGCTTAAAATCACATTAAAAGACAGAGCAGATTTGAGCACTTTATATGAGAAAAACTAGTTCCACACACTGTAACAGCAACAAGATTGATATCAGTTAGAAAGTAACCCAGCCATACTCATTTTCTATTCCTTTAAAAGTTCAAAATTATCTAATTTTATTTTTCATCTCTTCAATACATTTTAGGCATGTATCCTTAAGCTATAGTTGTTAATCTCTTACGCCAGTATAAGGAGTTACATTAAAAACCCTGTCGGTTTCTGTCTTCACCCTGACCTTATGTGTCATTGTCTGGGTTCCAGGTGGTGACAGCGGCAGTTCCTCCGCTGATGGCTTTGACTACAGGCGAACATATGGCCGTCTCGCCAACTGTCACTGAAATATGTCAGACAGGCTCGAATCTCACCATGAACCAAACCCAACTGAGATTGCCCTGATTACCTCATGCTGAAGTAGTCTTTGGCTCTGCAATAAAAATGGAAATAAGGCACAGAAACGATGAGCAAGGAGTTTATTAAGAGTTGTATCTTTTGTTTATTTATAAAAATATTGTAATATTTTACTTGACAGCCAATAAAGGTGGTATCAAAATCTTTGAAAATGTACATTTATATTGGAAATGTACTTTTCATCCCACATACTCAAATGGATTTTTTGTGTTTTTCTTTATTTAAATAAATTAAATTTAAAAAGAGACCAGTACCTCCCTTTTGCAATAAGAACATATATGTTTTATTTTTTTCCTATAACATTTCACAAAGTGGGAACATGCAGAGGGAGAGAAGGATCTCTCTTCACTTTTTCCTGAACCGTGGCTCCTTTCTTGTCCCTTCTATTAAAGTTACCTCCCTAGGTTGTCTTTAGGGTTTAGGTAAGGGTGACCATAGTTATTTCTGTCTTTGGTGAAGACAGGAATAACTGTCTGCATATATATATATATATTTCTGCATATACTTTATTTAGATTATTGTTTTACTGAGAAGCCCAGTGGCATCCCATTTTGGGTTTGTGGGACACAAAACTTAGATCTTTGTTTTTCATGGACAAAAACATTCATGTAATAATCAGGGGCAGGGACAACCTGAATTTCTGTGCTGAATGGTAGTTTTAAAAATGTATATTTACTCAAGGCTGGATTTTTAAAATTATTATTATTATGATTTTTATTGGATTAATCAATAACAGATGAACTGCCAATAAACGTGTAGGTCACTCAATGCAAGGGTTTCATGGCCCATGATCGCTCTTTTTAAAGCTGTACGAGGATAAACTAGAAAATCAAAAAGAAGAAAAATATTCGGAGAGAGCAGACCTCCATCCAGCAGCAAATTTTGCACTATAGCTAAAACTCACACATGATCTGGGCCATTTTTAATTTTTTCTTTGGCATGGGGTTCACCTTTGGTAAAAATTTCCTTAAAATCCTTTCATACTGTTATAAATAAGGCACAGCGTGTGTTTGTTTTGCTCTCACCTTCTTCCTGCACTCTGCTTTCTTTCTAGATCAGCAATTTGAGGCCCAATCCTAAACTGCCCCCTAAGCTCTAACCCTTAACCAACAAGTGTCACTCCGAATTAAAGTCTCACTCGGAGCTCTGGAAAGCGCCTTGCTTTAAGGTGGGGGGTATAAACAAGGTGGTGTAACCCATGTTTCCCTCCAAAAGGAAATCAGCCGTTGCTATATCAACACAGCCTCATGCGTGGCTATAGCTCTTGGCGCAGGTTGATATGCAATCAAACATTTGCCCCTTTCTTAAAAAAAAGTATACGGTCAAATAAAACTATTTGAAAGAGGACCTTCCCTTTTGGAATTAGTGACATGTTTTTTCTTTTTCCTAAATTGTGATTTTCTTTCAGTGCCAGCTGAACTTATATTTTAAAGCACCTGTTTCCTCCTTTATCAGGTCGCCATTACAACTACTGCCAAATTCCAGAGAGCCAGCTCTGATGCAGACTTGGGCTGTGTCCGAACGTCCTCCCTAACTTCAAAATCACTTAATCGCAGTATTGAGCTGGGACTATATAGTAGACTTTATAGTGAACTCAATTAACTGACTGTTCAGACAGATGATTACTAATTTTTGCTCCCTGGTCATGTGACTCCACCTCCCCACTCCATCTTTGTTATTTGTTGCAGGCTGCTTTCACAACAAATCCCATAATGCTTTAAGAGGACAGCTCTCACAAAGCATTCCGGGATATATCTGCTCATCTAGTGACCATGGATGAGCACTACTTTTCAAGGTGAATTGTGGGAAATGTTGAGTTCACTACTTTTTTCATCAACTAGATGTTCAGACACTCATCTAAAATGGTGTAACCACTATGTATAGTGCCCTATATAGTGATTAGGGCGGATGCTCTGGCTATTCACGTTATCCTGTCCACAGACAGACAAAAACACAAACAAAAAACATTACATACATAGCAGAGATATGAATAAAGAGATATGTAGAAGTTTGAAACTGAACTCAACTTATGAAGATATTAAGGCATCTGCTTTTAGCAGCCTTCCTTCTGTTTTAACAAAATCGTTTTTGCGACCTCCTCCCACCCCATTCTACAACTAACATTTTCAACAGTTGAACAAAGAAACATCACCTATATTAACTTATATATTGTGACAACAATATATCAACTTCTTTGATTTACAAAACTACTTTATTTAAAGTGTAATCATTTGAAGTTCAACTGTCCATTTCAATTTCACTTTGGGTACCACCAGTAGTTTAGTTGTAAAAAAAAAAAAAAAAAAAAAAAAAAAGGTGGATGGTGGAATTTTTTTTCTTTTTTGGAAGCATTCGTAACATAATTGATATATTCTATTAACCTAAACCAATATGCATGGTATGGTTGTTACATGTCAGATACGCTGGTCGTTGACCTTGACTCTACAGTAGAACTGCAGTCAGTCCTGGACTGGCATGGCTATCACTGCCCCTACATAGTTAGGGACTAATTTCCCACTGGGTTCAGCTTCATAATCATAGTAGGACACTTCTCTGATTTTATTTATTTTGTTCAGGCTACTCGTAAGCCCACAGCCAGCCAGATGTTGAAAGGGCTATTATTGTCATTACTGTTGATATATAGAAGAAATTGTACACAATCAGTAATAAAATGTCACAGGGGATGGTATGGGGGGATTGTCATTTAAGAAGGGGGATGATTTTTAAGATTTTTTTTAAGAAGGGGGATGCCATCCCCCCCAACTCAAGTACTGGGTACCACTAGCTTTATGGATTTGTTATTTTGTTGTGGTGATATTTGCTCTAGCTTCTTGTAGGATGTTTGACTCAACTCAGGAGAACGAATTTTACCTAGAGTCTTAAATTTTATTTTTGCTATTTACCACCAATTTATTCGCTGACTCTGAAATAAAATTGAAAGATTTCTAACATCAGTGGCTTTAGCTAAATCTAGCCCATTCATTGGCTAGTTAGTATCCCAGGGTCATATCTGAGTCTAGGCAATATGAGGCAGAGTCTCTTGAGTCAACAAGATGCTGGCAAGTGTGTGTTTTACAAAGCCTCTTAAGATTTACCAGCTCCAGACAAAATGAGTCTCGTAAAGACAGACAACAGCGTTTCGATTAACCTCAGACTATTTTCTGCACTGCAGCCTCACCCTTTTTAATCTGACTGTAGCAGCCCAGTTACAGAAAATTGAGAGTGGTTTCTCTTAAAAACCTTTATGCTAGATGATCAGCAGGGTCCTTCTAGTTTATAACATGAAGCTCATTATTCCCAATCTGGTTTTGAGATATGGAGAGTAGCAAATTATATTCGAGAGTTTGAACTGCTTTGCACCTTTTATCGCACCTTATAGGGATTGTGAAGAAGTTAGGTGATTTAAAGCAACAAAATGGTCATTGAGATTAAAAGTGTTGTAAGAAAACTTTAAATCAATGGCTTTTCAATGCAGTAAAAACATAGGCTACACGCATCAAAAATGGAAACAAGTCTTCATTAAGCAGCAGATGGGATCTCCTCTGTCCGATAAAAGTCTTCCTGACCTCTGGTTCGAAGCAAAGGGCTCCTAGAGCAGTTGATTTAAATGTCATCTCAATTTGAATCAAATAAAAAAAAAAATAGCGTTAACTTTTCATTGAAGGCACAAATGAAAACTAAATCAAGTCTACTTATCCATGTTGGCTTATTTAGTTACTCCTACTGATTACTTTAAATCTTTATTGATACTAAAATCCATGTAAAATACATTACTTTACAATTACTTTACAATTGTTTTTCTTTTTTCGAATGTCTGATTTTAGGTTTTTGTGTCTAAAATAATACCTTTTTTTCTGTAATCAGCAGATAAAAAATAACTACATTGTTCTGTTTGCCTGTAAAAGGGAAATACTTTCCAGGTCCAGGTCAGCAAGGCCCTTCTCTGCAGTTTATGAGCAGCACAGCTTTGCCTTCATGTGGTTCGACTGGCAAAACAATCCAGATAGAGCACTGGGTTCACATCTTGACTTCAAGATCTAAAGCAACCAAAATGATTTGCAAAAGTAGATCCAATCCTTGCTTTGTTTGAGTGTAAATAGCTCAGCACTCTGAGAGTTTACCATAAAGTAGCCAAAAACTTCTTAAATTTAATAGATTAACATTAAACATTTGTTTCCATTCTGTGAAAACTGTTTTCTGTTATCCCTGCCAATGGAAAAGTAATAAGAGAAGTATTTGTCTTACCTGGGACAAAGGAATTACAATAAAGGAGCCGCCACCAGCGCTTTCTGTGACTACACCGAGGAACTTAGAGTTGACGGCACAAAAGTGGTTGTCATGGACGTTCTTGGTGATGGGGATGCCATCGAAGCAATGCTCCCGGTTGGCTACCTTGCCGTAAACATTTCGAAACTTGGAGCTTCGGTACGTCGGACGCCATGACATCTAAAAGGGCGGAATAATTGACAGGGATACTTTAGTTTCCTTTGCAGCATGTGTGAAAATGCTGATTATCACTGTAAAGGTTTTTTAAACAAGAGGAAAATACTTTAGTTTTTTATTCCATGCAAATCCGGTCCAAAATCGAACTATATCTATTTGGTACTTTAATTTAGTGAAGATAGAGCCAAAGCTACCCTGTTTTGGACTAGATTTGTGTGTTGGAATAGCCCATTAAAAAACAGACTTTAATCTACATCAGAATCCATAAAAAGACTTGAAAATGGATGGTCACAGATGATCTCTATCCAATCTGAGTGTGGAAAGTTAAGCAGTTTTGTGAAAAATAACAGACAAAAATGTGAGCCTCTAGATGTGCAAATCTGGTACAGACATACCCAAAAAACACTTTCAGCTGACACTGCAACAATGGTCTTTCTACAATTTATGGACTCAATTAATCTTAACTCAGATCATCAGTTAGCAAAAACAATTTTTAAAACCAAGGATTTCTTTTCTACCACTGGAACAATCTTGATCAACTTTTCGTTGTTCTATCATTTAAAACCATATCAAAGCATCTAAAAGTTGGTAGCTGCTACATATAAGAATTATATATCTCTGTTAAACTTAACTATATAAGTGGATTATTTTTGTTAGTTCAAAGAGTCAGTGGAAACTCACAAGGAGAAAGATGCAAAACCACAAAATATGATTCAGCTTGCATTAAAACCGCCTCTGTAGATGAAGAAAGGCTCTAGCATTGAATACTCATGAGTTACACGGAGATAGAATCTGCAATTTCTAGAGTCATATTCACATCCTCTAAACTCACTGGCACAGGGTGGGCTGGTCCATCTGTGCAGACATGATAGCAGTTTACACATCTAGTGCTGGGAAATAATACAAACTGTGGATGGGGTTGAGACTCTTAAGGGTGAAATTCCTTCGACCAAGTTGACTACACATGCTTAATACACTAGAAAGGAAAACCTTAATACCACCCATCAATCAAATAAATAAATAACAAAGAAATATTGACAAAACAGGCTCTGATCAGTTCCATTAAACACAGCAGACTGCATTGGATCTTGTTTTATACCTTCATGTGGAACATGCACAGCAGAAAAACACACATTGTTTACCTCTTGAGCAAAACAACAGAACTGATTTTATTTGACTCAGGAAGTATTTTTTTGGTTTTGTTACCACATCAATATAGTGGTGGAGCTTTTGATGCATGGAATTAGCTTGTTAAGCCGTAGGACATTGTTGTCCTTTAACTTTTAAACCTTATTTGAGAAACTGGGGGGTTCTTGATTCTTGCAGACGCATTTCATTGCAGTTTGATCAAGTTTCTTAAACAGAATGTGTCTCTGAGCACATTTTCAGCAACTCTAGAACATTATGCTACAAAAACTGCAGGATGAGGATTTATTGCTCTAGTCAGATCAGTGGCAGCTTTGCCAGATGACATCAGGCGATCCTCTATTCAGCATTGTTCTACAGATAAGAAGGTCCGCCGCTGGTGGTGGGAGGGTTGTAAGCATGCAAATAGAAACATCCTCTAACCATGCTGCTGTTGTTTTTCCAGTCTCAATGCAGAAAGAAGAATTGGCCCCCAGCTGACATCACAAGAGAGTTCTATTGCATTTCTTTAACTTCGGCCAAATATGTGGGATAAATAAGACATATCTTCAGATTAGAACCAAGCACAAATCTTGATTAGATACTAAAAAATGCTGCATGAAACAGCTGAATTTCCAATCATTCTTTTCAAAGGAAAGAAATGAGTAAATATTGTTTTTATTTGGACATTGCTTTCAGGGTACAAGTTTCCAGGCTTTCTGAATGTGTTTTTTCTACAAACTTTATTCACTTTTAATACATTTTTACTTCACCCTTTTCAGAACTAAGCTTTTGTATTTCAGCAGGATAGTGCATTATCATTATAGTGAAGTTCTGGTGGTGGGTTTGAGCAGCCAATGCCCTAAATGCAGCAGACTGTCAATTTTTTCCTTTCCCATTTTTCCATTACCATTTTCAAATTAAAAACAAAAATGAAATAACCGTTCAATGGAAGGCTTTTTCACTTACTACATTTTTAGCGAATACTTTAGCTGTTTACCCCGACTGGATATACCAGATATATTTAACTGTGCAGTATGCCTAAAAGGGAAATATCTTGATCTTCTTTCAAAAATCAGTTATATCACAAGACTTTGCTGTCTGGTCATTTATAAACAACAAAACAAGCTCGAACAAGTCTAGCCTTTAAAAATTAAAGTTGGCAAAACAAATCCAAGTCATGAGGTGGAATGCAGGTGGGTCACTATAAATTTTCAGGCATAAAAGGAGATTCAGGTATTTCCTATTCTAAAGTGTGCTAACCTGATCATGTTGATAGCAGGCTGTGATTTTAGCACAGAACCTCATCAACTTGTCCTAATTCAAAGTATCATTGCTACTGAAGAAAATAGCTTTGGCTTCCTTAAGTGTACCTGCTATGAGCAGTGTCCACAGCAAAATTATTATTTATTTTGATTCATATAATGTGTTGAAGGGAAGAAAGAAGCTGTTGGTATGCATGATGGACTGCAATTGTCTTAGTTTATAAAGTCTCAGGCAGCACACATAACAACAGTGAAAAGGATGATGAAATAGCATAGGGCTGAAATATTAAATGAGGTGGGGTACAGTGGTAGCATAGGGGCAGAAAGTGTAACCCATGTTTAGCCCCAGTCCTTCACACAGTTTCCCTGAGTCTGAATCTTGACCTGAGGAACTCCATGTCATCCCCTTTCTCTCTCCACCCATTTCCTGTCTAGTGACTGTCCAATAAATCCACTAGGGCCTAAAGAATAATAGAGTAGTAACACAATGGAATTTTTTTTTAAACAATAGAGATATTCAATTTGAAAAATGTGCTTGCTATAGGTTGAGGGTGTCACTAATCCAATGTCAGATATTTGCAAGATTCTTTCTATATGCTAAATATGAGGCTTTCAGCAGCTGTTCAAACTCTGGACCATAAGGTGTTATTTCCTGGGAGGAGTCGACACAACATATTTGAAAACGTAGCTAAAGTTAAAAGAAAAACCTGTAAAAAAATGTTCAACTGGAAAATAAAAGTTCACAAAAGTTCACAATAAATACTTATATCTAAACAGGTAAAACATGCATACTCTCCAATGTGATTCTAATCTTAATTTCTAGACTTTAAGCCTTTTTAATATATTTTACTGTTTACATTATATGCACATGAGAACCCTCCCCTCATCCTATACTTGTTATCCATCACAGTATCTGTTCTGGACCAAGATCTGTATGAACAGCATAATGGCAGCTTGTTAAAGAATTGATGAAGAACAGAAGACAGGAGAAAGTAGCCTGAGGGACAGCCAGAGGAGACAGACAGAGTAGACTCGGATGCTTTGAGCTTTCTTTTACAAGGATGCTCATTCACTGGCTTCTGGCACACAGGGTAGTTCTGTCTAAGTGTGTCTTCTCTATCTCACGAGGACTTGCAAGAAAGCAGCACAAAAACAGATAATTTGCTATTGGCATGCAACATGCAAAAACACCGACAAGATGAATCTGAAACTGTCATCACAAGACTTCTGGCTTGTGATCCTCTGCTATGCCTTTTAACTCTGCTGACCGGTCCCACATTTAGGTATTTTCTCCACAGGCTGGATTTGACACCCCGTTGGGTTTTTGTGAAACTGTAAGGATAGACTAGATTTCCTAAAAGATTCACCTTACCTTCCCTTTGTTCTGATTTGACACTTAAGTCCCTGCGGCCTTGTCAGACTGCAAACATCCGCCCTCTTCTCTAAATGACCTGCTCAGATCTTCAGTCTTCCTTCCTTCTCTTGCAAATGTGTGCAGACGGGCCTGTGTCTGCCTCCTTCTTTCTCATGCCCCCCCTTCTGTATACTCTTCCCACCCTCTTCCCCTCCTACTAGTGCTGATAGCTGCAGGGCAAACACCCCCTCCTTCTTGCTCTCACCCCTCTCTCCCATCCTGCCACTCAGTCTTTGCATCTGTCTCCACTGTGGTTCAATCTCCAGCTCATGCAGCAGCAGCTGGAGTAGTAGCCAACCAACCCCACGCTGTGTTTGAAATCACAAGGCCTTTCTTGGCTTACTTCCAGTAACACTCTTTGTTTTTTCGGTCTCTTTTCCCTGTGAATTTTTAAGCTAGACTTCTGAGGCCCATTTCACAAAAAAGGCTTACTGAAAACTCAAAGTTTTCTAAACCTGTAATCAGGGAAGCTCTGAGTTTCCTCAATCTCTGTATCTGTTACCGTAGTAACATTCTCCCCAGAGGTAATCTGGTCAGAAGCTTCTGTTCATTAAACTCGTTGTGTCCTCTGTCTCTGTCCGTCTTAAAGTCCATTGCCTGGTTCTATTTCCTCATTTAGTCATGAAAGGTCTGTTGTAGTTTTGTGTGAAAAATAAAAATAAAACTAGTGACTAGGTCCATTAGACACACTAGGTGATAAAAAGACAAACATAGTATGAGTTACCGTCCTTTAGACAAGAATGAAATTAAAGAATGAAAGGGATTAACTTGCAGAGCATTAAATATTTGTAGGGAGAGGATCTCAGACCATGTATAGATGCCATTTTATATTCATAAAGTTATCTTTATGAGCAGAGGTGGGTAGTAACTAGTTACATTTATTCAATCATCTGCTTGAGTATCTTCTCGAAAAAAACAAAACAAAAAACTTTCTGGAGTAGTTTTATATCATTGTACTTTTTACTTTTACTTGAGAAAAAATATAAAGTATCTCTACTTTTACTAGATTAAAATGTCTGTTGATTGCATTCATTGTGAGTAACTTCACATGATGAAAACAAGCTTGTTTTAAACAAATTTGCACCAATGAGAAATATACTTTCATCTTTTTGTAGTCAAGGCTTATTGGTTAAATGTTATTTTCCATCTGCTGAGTCTACCATGTCATTTGGAAAATGGGTGATAATACAGTAAATAGT